TATAAATAAATTGCATTTCAACAAAGGACTTAAAACTGTATAAATAAGTTAATGTGAGTTGTTTTATTACATGGTAAGATCATACACACCACCATTTAAAGATTTACAAAATTGTTTTCAAGTATAAAATAGTTTGATTTTTTTAAAGTAAATTCCTGTTAAAATACATAACCAAAACTTTATGTCTTTAAAAATGTGTTAATGAAATTAACTTAGATGGCATGCATATTCTTCTTCTATATTTTGAGGGCCCATGATCAAATGGATTGATCATTCTGGATCCTATTTTTCAGAGGAGTTCGCGATGTTACTGTGCATGGTTTTCAAGGGGATACTTCACTGGTTTCAAGGGCTACTCAGCAAGGGTTTTATGAACTGGGTTTGGAAGACAGGAGGCAAAAGCTGCAAATGTGTCAAGTGTAGTCGCCTCAACTGTTGCTTTTGGAAAATATTAATATATGAAACTCCAACAACAGCTGAGATCGCATATGTGTAGTAGTGTTGATTCAGATGATGTTTTAAGCCTATAGTGCTATAGATCTAACAATTTTAAGTGTGGTTATTTATATAATAAAATAAAACAAATACATGAGTGTGATTAACCCAATCAAATGTAAAATATTTAGGAATATGATTTATGCAATCTAATAAAACAGAAACATGAGTGTGATTAACCCCCAAAAAATATAAAAGATTTTGGAATATGATTTATACAATCTAATGCAGGGGTACAAGGTAAACTTAAATGAATAGAGAGGCCATTGACCTTTAAGTTACAATTAAATGTTTATGTAACGTCTTCATTTCCTCATTAATATTTTACTTCATATCAAAGAGTAGCAAGTTTATTTCTGCAGTTCTCTTGTAGATTTTTTAAAATGTTAAAGGTAATTTTTTTTTTTATTTCAATGCAATGTTACTTTAATAGGGAGAATTAGAATAATTCCAACAATTCATTAGGGGGTGGAAAGTACCATATAAAAAAGTTTGAATAATGATAATCTAATGGAAGAGATGTAGGAATGTGATTTTACAATCAAATATTTCAGAACTGGAAATTGTCTATACAATATTTGAATGCGATAACATGCCCTAAATGTTTCAAATATTGCATAAATTTTTCTGATCTGCATTATATTTATTTTAAATTTGCCTTACTTTTAGATTGACATTATCTGTTTTTATTGAAAATTTTATAGCAATAGCTTTATTGGTTTAGTTATCATGTCACTTTTTTTTAAAAATTAAATTTTTCGACAATTGTCGCTATCCACGCCATATGCTCATAAAAATCATATTTTATCAAATATAATAAGTTAATTCACAATGCATGTGTTTTGTTTTGTTAAACAGTGTATTGTAAATGTCTCCTCCAAATTTGCGCGCTCTAACTTTAAAAGCCAAAAAGATACCAGCAAAATAGTACAAAAAGACTAATAATTTGATCACAGTTTTAAAAATTAAATACAAAGCCAAATAGTGGGGTAAAATAAATTTTAAAAAATCATAATTTTTCTCCTATGAATGCTAGAAAGATTATATTGGTGCCATTGGAACGCTTGAAGCCAGCTCTTTCCAATGATATGCTCTTTTTGTATGTCAGATGCATTTGAAAATTGAATTGGAATACCGGCTAATGTTGCAAAATTAAATTAAAATTTTCATATCCAAATTTCTTCAAACCATATCAAATTAAAATTTTTGCATGAACTAAGAAAGAAAAATTAGAATAATGTTATATTTTAAGAACTTAATTTTAACTCACAAATCAACTTTAACTTTCCTTGATTTAATAATCATGTGTGACAATACTGATAATGTTGTTTCCCCTTTCTTCAAATAAATTTAAGAAATATAATTTATTGCATTTAAATTGTTAATACATCACACCAAGTTTTAGCTTTGTATTTTTAACATTTAATAAATGTTACTTATTTTCCATCCCGAAAATGTGCTTTTATCAATTTTATTAGTGATGAAATTTAACTTACAAATATTTTTAATAAGAATATGCCTTATTAGCCATTAAGTGCATTCAAAATGTATTGCCAAATACCACTCACTAATTCACTTACAACTCATCCGTATAAGAACAAACCATATGAAGTTGCTAGTGGTTCATTTTGATATCAATATCTCAAAACCCATTTATGTTACAAATTTGAACTTTGGTATAGATTTTATTAATAAAATAATTAACCATTCTTTTTAAATATTGGCCTACAGCATTACGTGTGGAACTTTTAAATTTTTATTTTGTCTTTAAGATGTAAACCGATGCGTGCTAAAAGGATGTTAGGGCTTTGAAATTTCAATAAAGTTCAGATGCAGGCAAAAAAAAGATGTGTATTTGTGTTGTAGGGGGGCTATCATCCTGTGGATGATTTTATTAATTTTTATTAAAAACTGTGGGAGGGAGGGGGATTTGAATCTTTCATTTTGCCCCAGGCATCACAGGATACACTCAAGAAGGAAGGCGTGAATTTGATAAATAATAAATCTGCTTTGGTAAAAACATATCAGAGGGAGGGAATAGGATGTACACATTTGTATGTGGAAGACAATATCTTTAAATCCGATGATATTACAGATGTAAATATGAGGTGCTACATATTCTTTTAAAAATAAATATATTTTATACTAATTGAGAAAATATAGTTCAAGGGCGTTGACAAGTGGGTACATTTACATAAGTATAACCATACCTAAAAAAAAAATCAAACCCCAATAATTTTACACAAATGAAAATTAAATGTTAAAAATATAGCCACTTTTTAAAAATATTTACAGTTTAGGGGCATGAACAAACATGGGTAAAAATTCTCTTTAAGATTATGAAAATGTATTTTTTGTTTCCATTTTGAAAAAAATAAAGTTCATGGAAAAGTGGGTGTAAATATTTATGTGATTAAAAAAAATTAATTTCATTTTATGTGTTTGCCCTCCTCAATACCATTAACCCTTACAAAGCATGTGGTCCTGACAACATTAAACCACGAGTGCTCAAAGAATTAGCCAAAGAAATCGCTCCTGCACTGACAATCCTCTTCCAATCGTCACTATGCACAGGAAATGTTCCAGCAGACTGGAGAACAGCGCATGTCACTCCAATTTACAAGAAAGGGGAGCATTCCGACCCTGCCAACTATCGTCCGATATCCCTCACTGGCGTCGTCTGCAAATTGTTGGAGCACATAATCGTAAGCTCTGTCATGAAGCATCTTGAAAGCAAAAATATACTCAATGACTGTCAACATGGTTTCCGAGTCAATAGGTCATGTGAGACCCAGCTTCTCGAATTTGTAGAAGACTTGATGACCAATCTGGAGAACCACAAGCAGACTGACGTGCTAGTAATGGACTTCGCAAAAGCATTTGACCGGGTGAATCAT